CAGCTGCAGGTGTATTGATTGTTTCGATCGCTTAGGTACCGTAGATAAATGGAGGATTGTACCTGGTTGATCGGCAAGAGCAGAATCTAAGCCTTTTGTGAAAAATTTAAAGACCGAGACAGTTGTACCGATTTGCTTGTTCCCGCTGGCCATTTTACTATATCTCTATTTCGCTCAGTGTGAAAGCTAGGCGTAGCCACACTAGAATAATGTGTAAATTTAACCAATTTCCAGTTTTTATCGTTAATTTGCTATAGAGGATACGTTTTCTCACGCGAGGTATCCGTAACCGGTGTTTTTAATGCCCCAAAAGTAATTAAAAAGATGATTAGCTTTGGGTGAAGTCAAGTCAAGTCCCTTTCAAAAAACATTGTTGCATGTTGCAAAACCAGGTGTCGTCTAAAATAGTCTTCAATTTCTCCCATATCGAAGCTTCTCATCTTTCCGCGGGCAGATATTAGGGCAACTTGGTGGCAATATTTGTATTATCTGCGTGGGAAACGACCCCAACTGTGGATCTCGGTTTGCAGCCATCCGTTAGCTTCGGGCGATTCGCTGATTAAAATGTATAGAGCGACTCTGTGGGGGATAAGTCAAACGACCCATCGGTTATTCGGTTGCGTTTATCCGGATTTCAAAGCAAAATGGCTCCGATAGGTGCGGAACAGTCATTTTTTCAATTCCCGTTGACACTATCGTTGAATTAGATTTTTATTACATTTTCGATGCTGTGGCACGGTAAGGAGATTCAAATTGTAGATATCGATCGTTATTTTTCTACATTATATAGACAAGGCATGAATACGCAGTAAAAATGATTAAAATTTTTTTTATAAAAAAGGCTTGCGTGTCCGTCTGGTTAAACACACCCTATACGATACATAAATATGAGCGAATTCGCAATTAATGAAATTAGTTTTCGCGTTGTCGGCTACATTTTAAAATTATCGGAATAAAATTTAGTTGCGGCCTTTATAGTCGACTAAAATTTGAATTATATTTAATTAAAATCAATTTGGGCGTAATTCAATCTAATGAAACGTCGAGATCGGCAGAATATATTGACTTAAAAATTCGCTAAATACCATCGTTTGTATCAATCCCAACGGTACATCGATGTCCACATGGAATTCGCACCTTTGGAAATAGCGAATATTACATTTTCCGTCGTTCTTCTCAATACGCCAGTCGGATTTTATAATTCGTGTGTTATATTTTTACAAATTTTTGAAATTTGAAGTGTCCAGCTGAAATTATTTAAAATACAGACGAATTGTTACGAAATTTTCATAAAATTTTTAAAACGGGTGGGATAACAAATTGACGAAATTTGCTGCAATGGCAAGAAACAAGGAAATTCCGTACATATAGGCTATTGTACACTTACTCATCTGAACACGCTAATAACGGAATATTAAGCTTATTTATGTCAAAGACAAATTTGTTTACAAAAAACGTCGCCATGGCCGGCCAAAAGTTCCAGAATGTTTAGCAGAATCTAAAAATGTTATAATATACAGGGTGTTCCATTTAAAAAACGAAAGTTGATATCTGGCAACACCGCATGGTCAAAAATATTTTATATTCTCTTGCATAAGAATAACCCTGTATACATTACGTCAAAAACCCTTCAAATTTTTTCGTTTAATTTTTTTTTTAATTGACGATCGAATTGTCACGCAGACAGATCAAACGACATGGCGCCGAAACGGATGACGTGAATTTTTAATTTTCGGACATATCGACAAAGGTCATCTCACCAAACTTCCGCAACTATTACCCTACAAAGTTCGGTTAGCTACCGCGACAGAGACAGAAAATACGAAGCAAAGATAAACGTTGATTCAAAACCGACCTGTTTGCTTTTCGAAACTCGGTTTTGATGTTTCACATTTCATTTAGCGTTTGTTTGGTGTACGATGGAATTACATTTTCGGCAGTTGTTGCGCGAAAGCTGTTAGTTTCCGCATTGTTTAACCCTTTATCGTTGGTCGGGTTGTTGTCCTATCTATACGTCCACTTCGAGGTAGCGTCGTATCTGCGTCGAATGTTTGTTTGCTTCGTCTCTCAATTTGGGACTAAGCTTCAGAATATTATACGCAATATTGTTCGATTCTCGTTCCTACGATCATTATTTAATCAGTAAATACGCAGTTTGAATTAATTCACAAATTTAGCTGCCGGTCACGACCAGAGGCTCTCAGTTTCGTCTAGTTTTCTATTTTCATGATTTTCAAGTAATTCAAATGCCAAATTATTCCATATTGGTGATTCTGTTTTGACAATAGCGATTTTTCCGCATCAACATCAATATCAACAAACAGATATCAACTTAAAACCTCTCTTGTGATTATATCTTGTTAATTTCCATTACACCCAGTCAACACAGCAACAAACCGCAAGATATCACGTTAAAAAATCGCTTTTCTGTTTTGAACGGAAGTTTTTTCTGGTCATCTAGCAGTAATCTTAGTTCAAACTACCTTTCTGGTTGTATTTCAGAAACGAAATTTTCACCTACGTGACTAGCTTATCCAACCAATTGAAAAAAAAGCGACGCCGAAAATAAAACAAAAGCGTCCATTTTTTTTTGAAGCGCGAGACGAAACGGAAAACGAGCGCCTCGCAAATTCGCATTCGCACCGGGGCTAACGAGATTCCGCAACGTCGAATACGTAAATAAATTAAGCTTATCCACTTTTCACCTGGATTTCGTCCCCTCTTCTGTTTCTTTATCGATTCCGAAGATCGCACGATTGACATTAGGCACATTGGCAGTCTGAGTTTCATCTCTAACCGAGGTGAAAAACCTTATATATAATACGACCAAAAATATAGTGCATTTATTGCTTTGACGTTTTAGGTATTCTACAGTACCTTAATCGCAGACCTTCGCAGGACCGTGGTAACAGATGTTTATTCTGCATTAAGTAGGTCTGCCATGAGAACGAATATTTGTAGAAACTTGAAATTTTTATTTGAAACGGAAATGGACCGTTTTATATTTGACTAAACATTGATGCTGCGTGGAAGTGGAAGCGTTTATTTTAACATCAAGTGATATGTATCGTTCTTAATAGTTTAATCTAAATTGCAATAAGTCCGTATATATTACGGAGGTATTTGGCTGTGATCCTTCCAGTAAGTACGTATTTATTTATCTGACTCTCGAGCTTTGACCCTGCGAGGCTGTGTTCAGTGGATAGTTCAAAGGGTAAGAATAGCCTCTGAGTAACTGCACTCTATTTACCTTATAGGTTAGTTTGAAATCATCATCTTTGTCTTGCATGCTTGCCTATTAACAACATTCTTCTTTTTGCATTTTTGTGTTTTCAACATAGTTCTTCGATTTGTATAGTCTTTTGTAAGACTATAGATTATATTCGCGGTAGATAAAGGTACGTTATAAGAATATAGATAAATATTTATTAGAATCTTAGAATTAAACCTTCTTTGAAACATCCTGTTTTATAACATTTTAAAATGTGTAAGCCGTGGAATAAAGCACATGCTCCTCTGTTAGAAGACATGGAAAACGCAGAATTTGAAGCAAAGGCGGAGATGGTTGTCGAACATACCGACGATTTAGAAGACGAATTACCTCAGCAAATAAAAAAATGGATCCATTTGTCTTCGGATGCTAAACAAATTGTTTTGAATGTTTACAATTTTATAAGAAGTGCGGAAGGAGAAGTAGGAGAAATAAAAACAAGTGACTTGATCAGAGTTACGAGGTCAACTCTAAGAAAAATTGTTGAAACAGAAAAGTGAGAGATGCTGGACTTCGCGAGTTATTAAAGAGCAACACGCAGATCTAATTAGGAGTATAATCTACGACGTATATAGTGAATAGTGTTTTCACCCCACCAAAACGGCATAAAAAAGTACTGACAGACTTAAATATTAGTTGTGCCAAAGAGTCGTTGGGTACTTTTTTGAAGAAAATGGATTTTCAGTTAAAAACAATCAATAAACGGTAAGTGTTAATTGAATGGCAAATAATTTCGCAATGGAGGGTGGATTATTTAAATTCAATTGAAAAGAGGTAGCTAAAATATCAGTACAAAGCTGGTATAACTGTGAAAAACGGGTAATAAAAGAAGAAAATATTTATCGAGAACGATTAGCGGCGGAGTTGATCATTGAACTAGGTGAGGACAGCAGCAATAGTGATTTTTTAAGTGACTGATATTTTATTATTATTATATTTACTATTTTGTATATTTATAATGTAAATGTAATGAATTATACCTCCATTGGTTTCTGTTACACCATCATAAATTAATTTTTTTAATGCGGTTTCGAATAGCCTCTGATTTATCAAAAATTCGAACTGTTAATGGAAAATTATGCAAGTTTGATAAACGACACTTTGGTCACAAGTTTAGCATGCCGCACACGAAACGGTTGGTTGATGTACTCCATGAAACGAGTATCCACGCTTTCAGCAATTTTGTAAATCATATAAATAAATGTTTTGCTGGGCGCAAAACTTCGTGGATATCAAAATGTGGTGTCAGCTATGGGGTAACTTCAAGCCATGCTATTTATTTCGATTCATTCGCATCCTAAATAATAAATTAACATTGTATTTAACGAATCAGAAATTGTTAGACCTTAATGACAACGCCTAAAGTGTAAATGCTGCCCCCACCAAAATTCGACATGTTTTTTGAGCTTCTTTTATTTATTTTTTAAACTGGGATAAAGATATTGAGGTGCGGCTTTTATTGGGTTGTCGACCCATTATTTGGTAAAGAAGAAAAATATTTTTCAGTGATCATTCAATTTGTAATTTCTAACAAAAGTCAACCAAACCCTTCTAATTAGCATCTATATTGACATAATTGGAGACAGATTTTTATTCCGACAGAGATACGGGACCGACCACTCAGATCACCCTATTCGACGTCATCGAAGTTTCGTCTATGTAGGCGTATAAAGAAACCAGCGCTTACTTAACGGTTGCGGTCTTAGGTAACTGCAAACGTAATTCTTACCTCGTTGAAGCGCTTTATTAGTGTTGCGACCGATGACCTTGAAGTTGAGGCGGTGTTGCCGGGTAGGTTTCCTTCGGTGGTGCCGGTGTTGCCGCCTAGATCTGCCGTCACCTGCCGTAAGTAGTCAATTGGGGGAACCTGCAACCAAATTAAAGCATTTGAGCACAAACGGAAGTCCACACAGTACCGTCCTGATGGTGTCCAAACAAATTGCAGAATTCCTTCTCGTCATATTTATTTTATATATTTTTACGCTTATTTTATGACGTTTTGGAAAAATGTACCAATTTTCTGACCACATAGGAAAGAAACGCTGTATATTTTCAATTTTATTTCCCGTATTTTTAGGTAGAACCTAATTTAAATTCTCATTTGCTGGGTTAGTTGAATATCAGAAAGTTTGAATGCAATTTAGATAGTAATACTCTGGTAAGCTTCAGTTAAAATCATGATTTTACAGTACTTTTCTATACAGGGCTGCTCACCGTAGCGGTTCGTTAGAAGTTTTCAGGGTTAGGGAAAAATTACTGTAAATGAGTGATAATCGAGATTAACAGCCTTGTTTTAAATAAAAGACCCTACATATTATTATAATATTACGAGTATTGTCAGACTTTAGGTACTTATTTTGAACTAGTTCTGAAATATCTTGAAATTTTTTGAAAATTTTTACCCCTTTTTGAACGGTGATAAATTCTCCATCGCAAACTGCCAAAATAACAAATTAGATTATTCTCAAAGTCAAAAAAGTTTTAACTGAGACATCCTGTATATTTTGGGGTAGTAACAAGGAATATCTTTACCTATTTGTTTGTTATTGCTCCCGATTTTTTACCAGCAACATTTAACAAAACCCACTTAATATTCTGTCTTATTTTTAAGCTTATCTACAAGGTTCGAACTCAGCAGCAGAGAGGGCTTGGATATTCAATATTTAGAAAACATAAAACGCATCCGTTTACCTAATAATCGACAAATAACTTTTTTCTAGTTAGTTTTTTTCGTAATTGAAGAATTGCGTAAGAAAGTTCAGCAATTGTTGGTTCTATGTGTGGTTTACTGTTATTCATAGAATTTTCAGGAGCTTCCCATGCATATTCTCAATCTTGTAATACTGAGAGAGAAGAAGAAGTTCTAAGGGTAATAAATAGAAATGACAATGACCCATTTTTCATGAATGATAAGTTTTTTCCGGTTGAATAAAGAGATGGTTAACCATATATATACTGTACCCCTTATTGATACCTCATATGCAAAAAACTATTTCCATAGCAATATCTTCAAACCAAAAAATTAGAATTGTATTAATTTTTTTTGCCACTGGGCACTATCCAACGCGTGTAGGACTGGACTGGAAGTTTTCTACTGTTCAGCATACAGTGCCGGATATTCTACATGAGGTTACTTCAATTATTATTATTATTATTATTATTATTATTATTATTATTATTATTGTTATTGTTATTATTATTATTATTATTATTATTATTATTATTATTATTATTATTATTATTATTATTATTAATATTTTCTATTCGTAACAGTGTTCTCGGCAATTCATTTCCATTTAAATGGTTTATATCTCCCTATCCTAGGGCACGTCGGATGATGTGGGCTGTCTTAAGGAGAGTAGTTTTTTGCAGTGTCGCAATCGTGTTTTCGTTGTTATCCGTTATTTTATGTGTCTCCGCAAGGTTTTTGTGGATGGTTCCTGTCGCTCCGATAATGAAGGGGACAATAGTTGTTTTAAACCCCCACATTTTCTGCACTTTTGTTTGAAGGTCTCTGTATTTTGCAATCTTTTCGGATTCCTTCTCTTTTATTGTAGCGTCTTGTTTTTAAAGTCCTTAATTATAGTATCTGTATAGTATAGTATCTATAGTTTGTTTGCCATCACAGACCTGTCTGTGTGTATTTGCGTGTCCCATATTATTGTGATTTCCCCTTTGGCTTCAACGTTTTTTGGTTTGTGTTTGTACCAAGCGTGCTGTACCTCTATACCGTAGTGCTTACAGATATTGTAATACAGTGTTAAGCATACTTAAGTGTGACGTCCAAGATTTTCTTTCCTTGCTATGACTGGGCAGCTTGTGGTGATGTGCTTGATTGTTTCATCATATTGTTTATAAAGTCTGCATCTTGCGTCTACTTTTCCTTTGAATATTTTGTTCCAAATTCTGTTTCTCCCTTTAATATTCCTGTTGTCAGACATCTGAATGTCTGCCTCTTGTCCGCACCATCCTTATCGACTTCTCTGGCATTCTGTCATTTCTTTATTATTATTATTATTAACATTACTTTTATTATTATAATTATTATAATTATGAAAATAATTATTATTTTTATTATTATTATTATTATGAACCAACTAGGCAATAATGGATAAAGTTTCCCTCCGAAAGAAATAACATTAATAAGTAAATTTATGGAGAGAACTCAATTTCCAGGGGAAATTGGTGCAATTGATTGTACCTATATACCTATACCGAACAAGAACATAACTACTTAAATAGAAAAGATTACCACTATAAAAACATACTAATAGTATGTATTTTTAAAATTAATTACTAGTAGTGTACTACCAGTATAATTTGAAGTACTGTAACGGAATAATCTTTTTATGATACTATTTTACAATGCACTTAATTTGAAACAGACATAATGTGGACAGATTTTTCTTGTTTTTGGACATGTGACTACGACTTAGAAATTTGATATATTAATTCAAGGTGGGGAGGAGCAGTTTTAGTTGAATTGCAGAGAATATGTGATGAAGGTAAGTTATAGTAAACATATTAAAAGTTATATTTATTATAAAAACAGGAAATTGGCCTTGATTATAACCACGTTTTATAGATACCGGATGTAAAATACTAGTGTACCACTAGGTGAACCTAAAATATTGTTGTTAAATAATCTTATTTCAGGTAATACTAATTCATGGCTTCTAGGAAACTCTGGATATCCCCAGACACCTTATTTAATGACATAGTACTCGAGATGGTAATTATACCAGTGGACACGTATTAGCAAGAAATGCAATTGAAAGCTGTAATCGTGTTCTTAAGGTTATATTATTTGCTTATCAGGAGAAAACAAATTACGATATCATACAAACATGGTGGGGAATATTGTGAATGCTTGTGTAATTCTACATAATAATTGTGCTAGAAGAAGACTCCCGGACGCACGAGAAATTGTAATTCTTGAAGATCCTGCAACTTAATGCCAGTCATGATGGTTATAGAGGGCTCAACAATCCTTTTTGGCCTCACAGACAGATATTTTCGGTAATTTCATTGTCTCTGTAATTTTAATTTAATTAATTTTTAATTTTACAGGATAGAGAGGATAGAGTTCCATCAATCAAGACCAAGGATCAAAAAGTTAGATGCCTTAAAACTCTTGAGGAATGTATGTCATAATGTTAAATTAAATGTTAATGTAACTTTTATAGGGATAGGTAAAATTATAAATAAAACCATGTTTGATTCATACGGAAGATTATTTTAAATATAATTATAAATAAATGCAAACTGCTCCACTTAACACGAGTAATGATTTATTCATTGAGGTTAGATTTCTATTATTGCGTCCTAAATTGTTGCTAATGTCCTTCAATGAGCATGTCTTTGATAAGATCAGTAATTTGTCGTCTTCGGTCTGTAGACTTTGAATCCTTAGATTATGAAGTATTTGATTCTAAAGTACTGCCCATGGGGATGTCCGTGCTGGCATAATTGTGGTCATCTGCTTCCATTTGAACTTCATTAGAAACTTCAATCAGTGATGGCATATTTTTATTGAAGTTATCTATACAGTCATAGCACATTATGCAACAAGTGCGGTACACGGTATTTGACTCACGAGTTTATTTGACACGAGCGGAGCGGGTGTTTAATAAACGAGTGAGTTAAAAAGTTTACCGAACGTGTTGCATACATTTATACTTCATATACATTTTCGCAAAACAACACGAATACATTCGCTGACATGACTGTCAGAATTGACATACGTCAAAATTCAAAGCATGGGAAATATCTCCGAAAACATTCGATTGCTTCCAAACGCGTGCGGTAAAATCCCGGAAATGTCTGAAGTGGCTCGGATTCGTGGGAAACGAAATTGAAGTGGTAAAGTGACGCTTCCCGCACGCTAGATCGTGCATAATTAGGTATTTTACAGACGAGAGTAGAAAAACAATATTTTTAAATTCTTCATCACAGTGCATGGGTCCCTTTAGTACTTTGTTTGGTGTATGCGAGTTGTAAGTTGAAATGTGGGGGTGTTAAATAATGTTGGCAAATAATTAGCAGTGTGTCTATTTAATGGCGTGTTCTGGTGTAAGCGAAAGTGGCGTGAAAATATTTTTAGGTGAAAGGAAATCTCGGGTTAGGTGTTTTATTACCGTCTCGAGATTAGGCCTAGACGATATACATTGAAATATGCTATACGTGATCTGATAAAACCTTGAACCTTGAAACTTTGCACTTTCACTTCCTACTCGGGGTTCGGAGAGATGATTAAGGGCTCCTTCGAGGTCTTGGCGACACACTCGAACTAATCTTGGGGATTATCTAGGTCATTTGCCTTGTGGCTTATTTTCCGCCTCGGCAAACGTACATAGCGCGTTAAAATAAAAATAAAAAAATAAAAATGAAAGAAGTGGGCGAGAAGTGATAAAAAGTAACGGATACCGGGTAAGATAAGGATAAAAAACATTTTTTCTCCCTTTTCGGGAGATTTATGGACCGCTTATGCTCGTCCTGGTATAAATTGCGATCATTACGGACGCAATTTGCGTTTTTTATTCGCAAGATTACATTATCGCAATTTAGAGCTCGAATCGAGAAAGAAAATCAACGTTTGTCTTATTTTTTTTTCTCTTATGTTATTTTTAACTTTTGTTTGTAGCCAGATAATTATTAAACAAATAAATGGAACAAATCCATTTAAAAATGAGATATTGAATTTCAAGCAAGAAATATACAGATATAGGGATATAGGAAACTGTAAGAGACACAGCGTCGCTTAAATCGCTAAAAATAGCGTATATATGTATGCCAAAAAATAATCTAGCAATGTTTATGTGAATACAGGGTGAAAAAGAAATATGTCCACTTTTGAAAATCCACAAT